GTGAATGTACGGAAATGTCTGTGCCTGTGCATAAATACAATGTGCGATCAGTGCGTCAAGAGCACTCATACACGCATCATTATAACGGACTCAGGCGTGCTTACTGTACGACTCCTGTACGCCACCGCAATCGTCTTTACCTTGATTGCAGTCTTCTTCCATCAAAACTTTACTAGCGAGACTGGTTATCAAGTCGAGAAAACATAGTTTGCGTCTCATCTGGCCATACAGCGGTGGGATGTGTTGACATTCCGTTCAGTCTGTACTTCACACAGCGCGACGTGTGAGGACTCGCGCTATTCATAGACAATCACAGAATATGACAGAGCTCATGTTTCAAAGCGAAACACACTGGAATAATTCACTGAAAACACAACGCGAGTCTCTTTTCTCTCTCCAATCTCTGATGTAATCAGCCTGGTTTCCTTTATATTAGTGCTGTTTTGGATGGATTGTTTGAATGCATTCGCTTACTGGATCATTGGACTGAAAACTTTCCCGGAGTTTAGCGGCTTAAAATGAACTGATCGCAAACAGAGAATCAAAATTGGGTTAAAGGTTTAGAATAGAAATTGTGCTTCAGTAATTTTGCTTTAATTGCGTTAAATTATTTTAACACGTTAAGGATTTTAAAATTAATCGCATGCGTTAACACATTAACGTTGACAGCCCTAATTTATATAAAACTATATTGACAGTACAGTACATATCAACTGATTCTATGCATTTATTTGTCAATCTAACTGATATAAACTGAGAAGATAAAAATCAGGCTTAAAAGATTTCTTATTCTATCCTATCCTCCATCTAGTGGACAACATTGGTATTACAGCCTTCATCTTGAAATGTTTTGAAATGTCTAATTGTTTATAATTTGCTGTTGGACCCCAGAGTTTGGATAAAGTACTTTCAAGATATGACAATCCCTGTTTCCTTTTTTTTTTTTTTTGCCGTTATTTTAATAAATCTCCATGGTAACATCGTTTAAGATATCCAAGAACCATTGTAAATTTAGGTTCCTCAATGTTTTTGTCACGATCTCCAGCTGGAGTGCCTATGAACTCCACCAGAGGGCACTCCACCCCTGACTCTTGCCACTTTCACTAACTACATTCCCCATAATCCTTTGCCGGACTCATCATCACTGATTGCATTCACCTGTGTCTTGTTACCTCATCTGTCCCACCCTATTTAAAGCTTGGTTTTTCATTCATTCAGGGCTCAGGTTTGTCTAGCCTGTAGCGTCCCCTAGTTCATGTGTTCCTTGTGGCATTATGGCCTTGTTGCCTTGCCTTTGACCCTGGACTGTTTCTGATTTCTTATTGTTTGCTGCCTGCCCTGACCTTCACCTGTTTTGTGGATTACTCCTTTGTCTCGCCCTGAATTATACCTGTTTGCTGTTGTTTGACCCTGCCTTTTTTGACCACGATTTTAATAAAAGCCTGCACTTGGATCCACTACTGTGTTGTTACGCCTCCCAACGTTACAGTTTTGGCATCATGTAGACAAAGTTTGGTGTGAATTGCATGATTGCCCTAGAAGGAGTGTGCAATAATTCACAGCCTGATATTTCCAAAAATCCACGTTCAAATCAAAATAGCAGAGTTCCTGTTGGTCGGAGCTAATGACTGTAAACTAGAAAGTTGTGCGGCTAGATGAGAACAATATATGTACCGAGTCTGGTGACTGCAGCTAAAACTAACCCCCCAACTTTTGTCAAAAGGTGGTGCTATAGAGCATATCATTACATAAATTATCATTACATAAATTACATTATTTGAGAAAGTAGAAAACAATACTTACATTTAAAAGTGTAATCCAGCAATTTCTCTCAAATAAATCCTGTCGTCACCCGCACGCAATGAATTCTAGGGTAGGGTAGCCTGCGAAGGGTCCATCTGTTGTAGCTTTCATTGCAAGTAAAATGAGGGGCGCATTTGGAGGCCGCAATTGAAGGAGCCTTCGAATTGGGACAGCCTTCGTCGCACTGCGGTGACGCAATCTGCCTTCAAATGCGCCCTTTGAAGAACGCAGCATTTGAATTGGGAAGCAGCTAATGAATGCTGAAGTTATAACACACTTCCTGTTTCCCTATTTTCACCATAAATTCATTGCATCGCCAAGGACAAACCTTTAGAGATATCAAGACGTGCTGCGTCATCCGCCGGAACGGCTTCCACCTATGACAGATATCGGAAGTGAGAGAAAAGTGTTTATTACATTTGAAATATATATATATTATATTATATATATATAGAGAGAGATATTTTTCTTACAAAAACGCATGGATTCACTACAGGAGGCCTTTAATCACCCCCCGGAGCCGTGTGAGGCACGTTTTGTTATGGATGCGCGCGCTTTATTTGACGACTTGTGGACTGTTCAAATGCAACACCCGCTGACTGCAATGATAGAGCTTGGAATAGCCAGGACAATTTTTTATATAACTCCGACTGGTCCCACCCTATTTAAAGCTTGGTTTTTCATTCATTCAGGGCTCAGGTTTGTCTAGCCTGTAGCGTCCCCTAGTTCATGTGTTCCTTGTGGCATTATGGCCTTGTTGCCTTGCCTTTGACCCTGGACTGTTTCTGATTTCTTATTGTTTGCTGCCTGCCCTGACCTTCACCTGTTTTGTGGATTACTCCTTTGTCTCGCCCTGAATTATACCTGTTTGCTGTTGTTTGACCCTGCCTTTTTTGACCACGATTTTAATAAAAGCCTGCACTTGGATCCACTACTGTGTTGTTACGCCTCCCAACGTTACAGTTTTGGCATCATGTAGACAAAGTTTGGTGTGAATTGCATGATTGCCCTAGAAGGAGTGTGCAATAATTCACAGCCTGATATTTCCAAAAATCCACGTTCAAATCAAAATAGCAGAGTTCCTGTTGGTCGGAGCTAATGACTGTAAACTAGAAAGTTGTGCGGCTAGATGAGAACAATATATGTACCGAGTCTGGTGACTGCAGCTAAAACTAACCCCCCAACTTTTGTCAAAAGGTGGTGCTATAGAGCATATCATTACATAAATTATCATTACATAAATTACATTATTTGAGAAAGTAGAAAACAATACTTACATTTAAAAGTGTAATCCAGCAATTTCTCTCAAATAAATCCTGTCGTCACCCGCACGCAATGAATTCTAGGGTAGGGTAGCCTGCGAAGGGTCCATCTGTTGTAGCTTTCATTGCAAGTAAAATGAGGGGCGCATTTGGAGGCCGCAATTGAAGGAGCCTTCGAATTGGGACAGCCTTCGTCGCACTGCGGTGACGCAATCTGCCTTCAAATGCGCCCTTTGAAGAACGCAGCATTTGAATTGGGAAGCAGCTAATGAATGCTGAAGTTATAACACACTTCCTGTTTCCCTATTTTCACCATAAATTCATTGCATCGCCAAGGACAAACCTTTAGAGATATCAAGACGTGCTGCGTCATCCGCCGGAACGGCTTCCACCTATGACAGATATCGGAAGTGAGAGAAAAGTGTTTATTACATTTGAAATATATATATATTATATTATATATATATAGAGAGAGATATTTTTCTTACAAAAACGCATGGATTCACTACAGGAGGCCTTTAATCACCCCCCGGAGCCGTGTGAGGCACGTTTTGTTATGGATGCGCGCGCTTTATTTGACGACTTGTGGACTGTTCAAATGCAACACCCGCTGACTGCAATGATAGAGCTTGGAGTAGCCAGGACAATTTTTAATATAACTCCGACTGGATTCGTCTGAAAGAAGAAAGTCATACACACCTATAGGATGCTTTGAGGGTGAGTAAAACATTTTTGGGTGAACTATCCCTTTAAGGCGTGCCTTTAGCCCCGTTGTACCCTACTTTGCATGCACTGTAGAAGCCATTGGACAAAGTGATGCAAATTCAGAGTAGTTCAACCGCCACATTTCTTTTCATAGGAATATTTCTGTACGTCTTCAAAGCTGAACACACCTGTGGTTTGGTCTCCTCTTCATCCTTGTAGAAGTAGAGGTGGTCAGCACGCAACACAAACCAGCGCAGCTGCCAGTTCTTCATGATGCTCCTCTGCTTCTTCAGCCAGCCGGCTTTTAGCACTCCCTCTTGGAGACTCGGTGAGCCACGTGATGCCTCTCCCATCACCATGCTCTTGGACCTGGCTGCAGGTGACGAGAAGAGACGTACATGTCAGCGATCATCCTCATCATTTCTAGTCATGCATGATTTAAGGATGACAAGCACTTACAGTAGCAGAGGGGAAAACTGTCATCATTTACACAAAAGCAGAACTGTAGGCTATTGTGTGATTTCAGAAGACGTCATGAGTCATACCAACCACTTTTTATGAGATGTTTGCGGTGCTTTTGTGTCTTTTTTGAAGCTTTACAGCTTCACTCTCCATTCATGGCATAAATGCATGGAAAAAGTGATCTAAGCGATTTCTTAAAAATCCTCTTTGTTTTCCACGGATGAAAGAAAGCGTCACCAAAAACATGTAGCTTAGGGATAAGTGCTGTGTTTAACCTGTGAGGCAGTGATTTATACTAAATAATCAGTGAATGATATACTCGACGATTCAAAATGATTTTAGTATCATAGCGATAGTGTTATAGTAGTTTTTTTTTTTAAATAATTGTATTTTTTATTTTTGTATTTTCCATTTTCTATTTATTTTTAGTCGAGATGTTGGTAATTTAGTTGTGTTTTTGTCATTTTTATAAGTAAAACACAGTCTAATTTTCATTTTTGGGTGAACTAACCCTTTAAATGTGGGCATAAACGTGTCAATATTTTTCTCATCTTTTTCTCATCTTGGGATTTGAATGTACAGTATTAAGTCCATCTCAGAGCTTTAACCACTAAACTACCATGTTTCTAGAAACACTTCATTCTGAGAGATGCTGTAATTGATACTCATCCATCAGAGGGTATAAAGAAAGTCTGCAGCTGCAAAACAAGCCTTTGCAGACATTGAAAGCATAAAAACCGAATTCACCACAAACTCACCGCATAAACATTTACAGACACAAACCAACCTCGGTCCTTCCTACTTCTGTCTCATATGCAAACAATCAGTAAACTGAATGGAAACATTTGTGGTTAAGATGGTTATCTTTTTAAACGAGAATAAGACAAGACCTTTCTTTGAGTGAAAACAAAGGCAGGAGAGTAAAGCTCCTTTGAAGATCAAGTTCAAAATTTATTTCTACTTCATTTCATTTTAAATTTAAAATTGGCATAATCTAGTTTTTCTAATGAGACACGCTTTATAAGCCATGGACTTCCTCTCTCTCACTGCCGAGTATTGTTTAGCGTATATCACTCTTCTAGCGATAGCTACATTACGGAGCCATTCCACGTTTCCGTTTCTAGTCTAAGTCTAGTCATTTTGTGTTGCCTTGTTGTCTGTTTCCTGATCTTCTGCCTGTGTATCTTGGATTAACCCTTTGCCTGCTGTTTCGGACTGTGTTTGCACCTTGCCTGGACTATTGCTTGTGTTATTGGATAACCCCTCGTGTCAAGCCCTCTGGATATTGTTCGCCGATCGTAGACACACGCTTGCCCTTTGAACACTCTTTGTCTTGCCTGAAATGTACCTGTTTGCCACTGTTTGACCCATGCCTCTTATGACCACGTCTCTGTTTAAAGGGGTCATATGTTGCTGCTAAAAAGAACATTATTTTGTGTATTTGGTGTAATGAAATGTGTTTATG